TAATGGCAAAACTCACATTAACTTTAAGCAGAGTGAGATCTGATTGTTTGAACAAATAGAGAAAGTCTCTATTCTGTCACTCCTTGACAGAGCCTTATTCCTCCATGTTCATTTGTTGTTAGACGTAGCCTGTTTTAGGCCCAAATTCAGCTAATAAATAAGCAACCCTCATCACCGAAGCACTTGAAAATGTACTTTTAATGCTTTCTAGAGTAGAGATGGATTACTGGATCAGCCTTATGAAAATAAATAGCCTGAGTTTTCCCATTACAAATGCTAAAGATTTAAGGTTGGAAAATGCCGAATCCAATATAACTCTATGTCTTTGTGGATTTATGGTTTAAGATAATATACAAAACCAGGAACGTGATTAATCAATAAAAGTAAACAATCTTGTCAAGAGTAAAATTACGCACGTAATTTATTTTCATTGAAAAGAATGGCAATTTGCAAATTACAGGAACAAAATGGAAGTGCCGATTAAAAGGATTATAAAAAAAGCTACAAAGTGGTGGGATGTGTTCCATTCTAATGTGCAAATGGAAAGAAAAATGGTTGAAAAGACAGCTGTAATAAAAAAATCACTGTGCTTCATTTCAATTTGTTACCTTATAAAAACAACACAATTTTAAAAGTTTAATCATTTAAATTATTTCCCAAGCATAGATTCAGAGCAGTATGCATTTGCCTTTCTTCTAATTTCTTTAAAGATCATATTATTTGAATATTTTACTTTGCTGGGACATTTGACTTGCTTTATCATAATGCATTAAGAAGTTTTTCTAAGTGAGGTATATTATGTCAAATATTTAAATTAGCATATATTAATGCAGCAGTATAACTACTGACTTGAAAAAGATTATACAATATAGAAAGTGATGCTACAAAGCAGCAGTTTCATACATTATTTAATTACGAGTCTTGTATTTTATGTCTTAATTTCTTGTTTTCCCACATGGAGTTTTTTCTTGTTTACAAAATTCGAAACAATTGCAGAGGAAAATGTTGGTTTCTGTTGTGATCTCATCCTATTATTAAGAAAAACCACTCTGTCTTTCAATTTCCAGTTTGAACTGAATCATATTTCTTACCAAAACTGTTGGTGGATATTGCCTTGGAATATTCTTTTTTCCCCAGCAGATTACAGTTCTGACGGTAATTCTTCTCTGCGTGGCATAGGGGAATTGTTTCAAACATGATGTATCATCAGTACCAAAGCCTGATGCTCAGTGATGTTCACTCCCTGTCTCTGAAATATGGAGCAGCATATTTATGAGGTGGAGGAGGGTTCATTTTTTATAAAACTCTAAGGTTTTATGTAATTATACTGATAGTTCCATACAGAGCACATACAAATCAATAAACACAGGAAATATTGGTAGTGAAAATTCATACAAAATCATTTTTGAAAGCATGGAACACAAATAAAAATTCTATCAAAACAAGACTTTTGAAATATTATGGATTCAAATCTTATCTGTACTTATTTATACGACTCACTCTGATACCTTAATTCATGCAGAGCAGTACCTCATTCCAAGAGCACTTCAATTAATATCAGTGTTGGAGATTAGGTTTGTACTAGGCTTACTAAAACATATTATATGAACACATTATTTTTCTGTCCATTCAGGCGGCTAAGAGAAGTATGTTTCACCACTATGTTTAAACGTGATTGTTTTGTAGAATAAACAAGGCCTAAAGAATATTGACTTTAAGTTAATTAGAATTTGATTTAATGGATTTAGAGGACTGCAAATTAATCCTTTAAGCAGGGGTAAGGCTCCTTGCAAGAGTCTTACTTATATAGGACTTCGTAAGCAACGTATAGAATATAAAAAGTAACTTCAGATATCTGTCATCCTCAAACCTATAGCACCAGTGTGGACTTTTTTCTTTATGGAACAAGGAAATAAACTTTAAAAGCAATGGGGAATTACCTAGTTTGAAAGCGGAAAGTACTACTTGATTGAATAGATTTGTCTCCTTTTCTAAAATCTAAGTTTGTATGATCCTGTCAGTCACAGATTGTAATGATCCATCTTTGTTTTAAGGTATTGCATATTTCAAGAGACTACTTGCAATATTAATGATTTTTTTTAATAATATAGGGACCAGAATACTAAATTTCAGTATCCATACTGTAAATGTGCCATTCAAGTCATAATAAATTCATCTTTCTCACTAGCTATTGCTGGCTGTAAGAATGAGGTGAGACTCTTGTGTCCTTCTCAAAGCATTTTTGCTAATAAAATTCATCAATATATCTGATTAAGTCTTTTACGGTCACTTTACATCCAGTAGCTTATTTATTTGGAAAATTTCTGGTTTGACACTCAGCCTCCAAAAGAAATTAAGTAAAGATACAGAAGGCCAGTAAGCAATACAGATCTGTTTGCCCTCCTTTTGCAAAAAGAAAGTATAGCGGGATGCAATGCAAAAGAACTAAAATAATCCCAGAAAGTGGTGCTGCAAAGATTAACCTGTTAAATTACATGTAATACCAGTGCAGAGGACTCGGACAATAGTTTATATTGAAAAGCCCCTGAATATGCATGATTATCCTCATTTGTTCCAAACTATGAGCACGAAAATTAGGATTATGGGATTTATCAGATTTTATTTTTTTCAGTAAAACCGGCAAGAACATTTTTATTACATGTTCATTCTTTTCTTGCCTGTGATAAAATTATATAGTCTCTAAAACATAGAGAGTACTACTTTATTTTCAGAAATGCAGAGAATCCTCAATAAAGTCACCAGGATGGGAACAAAGACCCTTACAGAGGCACTGCTGCGGTGTGACCACCGTGGCTCAGCCACGGTCCTGCTCCACACGGGCTCAGGAATTTGCTCAGCAGTTCTAAGCAACCCCACTCCTCTCTCTTTTTGAGGAGAGTTTTAAATTTGACTAATGAATGTCATGGCTATTTGTTAAAGTCTACTTGTTTCATAGATAGAACTGATCCTGAAGAGTTGGTTGGGAGGAAAGTAATCTGATTTATAGTTATTGATCACTTCCAGCAAAAGTCTTTCTGGTCTTGTAAAGCCAAGCAGGGGCAGAAATGGGGAGAGAAGATGAATTTAATGCCTGGGTTTATTTGATATAAGATATTCATATACATGAATATTTGTAGGCTTAAGCCCCGTTCTAGTTACAGTTATAAATATTTATCTGAGTGGTCAGAGTGAATGCAGTGTGCTTTCTAATGTGTATGTATATTGGTACTTGAGTGTAAAGGTGGGTCTTGATCCTGAAAAGAGCTGTGCATGAGATTGATTCTGTATGATGTAAGTGGCTCCATTGTCATGATGAAACTATTCTGTGCAGTAAACGTGTGTGCAAATCTTGGCCAGATTAATGCCCAAGTTGCTAGAACCAGAAAACATTACAGGAAAACTATCAAATATGCAAACTGAGAAACCCAGATTATTTAATACATCTTTTCTAATATTCTCTGGTTTCAGTAAATGTAGATAATTCTTGAAGCAAGACTAAAGAAGATAGTTTCTTTTCCAACACAGGCCTTTCCCGACTTTGGATCTTGTCCATCAGACCTGAGAAAAGTAAATATTTCTTGGATATCTGTGTTCTTGCTGATCTGGGTAGTGAATAATAATTGCTGTGGGGAAAAATCATCTCCAGTGGTGCTTCATAAACTAACTTGGTTTTCATAATCTGCAAAATCAACATGCCATTTTTTGATCAGACCCAAAGGGATCATTACAGATTATGAAGTTTAGTGATCACTTAATGTGTACGGTACTTTCTTCTTTATTCAGTTTCTTTTGCAGCATTGCAGAAGAGTGAGAAAGCAGTTCCCCATCTCTCTTTAGTGGAGATGCACCTGATAGTGATAAACTTTCAGCGGAGACTTCTTTCAGTCATCCTGCAGTCCCTAGTTCATCAGTAGGCTTCTGCCTGTGCCTCTGGTCTCCTCGTTCAGAGAGCTGACTGAGAGACATGGTGAAAACAAGTGGCTTTGGTTTCTAAGTTATTTAGTTGGGGGTTTTTCTAGTAAAGTAAAGAAACAGAAGTCAGCAACTCTAAATGGAGCTGAGAGATATGTGTGAATGGTTTAGAAAAACAGCAGTTTTTCCTGACAATAAAAAAAAAAAAAAGGGAGCCAGTTTTCTTTATCACCAGGAAGCTATAGGTCCACGTATGGGTTTTGTTTGACCTCCTCTCTGTAAGAGTTTGCCTCTTACTGAAATGCCACCTCATGGTGCAGATAGGCTATCTCCTGTGCTTCCTGCTCCCGCTCCAAGCATTACGTGTCCCCCAGGCTGTGGTGACTTCCAGCTGTTATAAAGCTTGGGCTGCACTGCTGGGATGTGGCAGAAGCCTCTCCAGGCTGCTTTGCCAGAGCAGTATCCAGACACCCGTGCTCGGTCTGTATGCCAGGTTATAGGTGCTTTAAAAATGGGAACATACTGGTCAACTTAGTTTCATTGGCTTACTTGGTGACTGGAAGACAGCCATTATTTTTATATGTGATTGGTATAATTAGTCGACTACCTATAGCAATTTTTTGGCTAGTGCCTTTGTTTCCTTAAAATGCAGAATAAGGAATGAATTAAAATCTATTACTGTGTTACTGTAAGCCCCATACATTTATTTTTCCTTCTCAGAAGTGCCAAACCCAGCTAAAAATAAACCCAACAAAAAACCAACTTAAAAACCCCAGAGGACTGGTTTGAAGGGCAGGCGCTCAGCAGGGGAAAGCGCCCCAGGTGTGAGGGAGAGCAGAAGCCACAGGTGTGCTCCAGGTGAGGGCGTCTGCCAGCCACGGGCGAGCAAAAGCTTCCCACCGAGAACCGAAACCAGTGCAAACCAGGAAACAAAAAGAAATATTCAAGCTGTCCACGTCGGACACTGCTAAAGAAACAGGCAGGTCAGCTTGGTTAATCTTTACCAAGACAGACTTCACAGAGGTTCACCGCTGATCATATGACAGGACCTTTCTTGTCTTTTCTAAGATAAGAAAACACCCATCCCAAGCAGTAAGAGTTGAAAAGCCTCCCCTGCTCAGATGTTATGACTTCATTGTTTTGCTGTGGGAGAAGAGGCTCCACGCTCCCCTGTTGCTCCCGGAGCTCAGCCCAGCCCAGCCGTTGCGTTGCTTTCCTGTTCCGAAGAGGAAGTGAGAAATTCCCTCCACATGTGCTCTGGCACTTGGATACTCAGGTTTCACTCCCGATCCAGGAGCTGCCTGTAATGAGCTCTCAGTGGGGCTCGGAGAGGAGCTTCCAGCTGTGCCAAGAGTTGTTTCATTTTGTGCCAAAGGAGGAGGTGGAGAAGAAATCCTGCAAAAAGCTAAGATGTTGATGGTGCAAAAATTGGTCTAAGGGTATCATAACTGGGAAAAGCAAAAGAAAAGCAGAAGCAGAGGAAGGCACAAGGAAACAGGATGGGAAACTTTTGCCAGAAGCACTGTGCCTGTTTGGAGCCCTACATCCCGTGCTTATTCTCGGGGAGAGATGGTGAGCAGGATGAGAAAGTCGGCCAAGTCTTCGCCAACCTTGCTGTGGTAAGGCATGACTTCCAAACAGGACAGAAAGACAGAGACAGTAAGATAAAAGAGAAACCTTTACCTCCACTGCCTGGCCAGCATCTGGTGAATATTTGCAGATTTGTGGCACTCTTCGACTACGAGGCTCGCACTGAGGAGGACTTGAGCTTCCGAGCCGGGGATAAGCTTGAAGTGCTGAATGCGTCCCACGAGGGCTGGTGGTACGCTAGGCTCCTCCTGCCAACAGGGTCAGTCTGTCCTGGCCGCAAGCTCCAGGGCTACATCCCCGCCAACTACATAGCTGCTGACCAGAGCATCGAAGCTGAGCCGTAAGTAACCCACGTAATGCACACCGCAGTCTCTTTTCTGTTAGGTTAAATGGGTTTGGGACAGGAGGTTACGGCCTTTTCTCTTGCTGAGTAGTACCCTGCCACACTCAACCTCCAGTGGTCCTACCAGTGATAGCGCTAGTTGGTGCGTGCAAGGAGGAGACACCGTGGTCACAAGAAAATCAATTACAAAAGACAGAGTCTTGAGGGTTTTGGTGTGGTTTAAATCATTTCCCTCTCTGATATGCCCTAATCACCTGTTTAAGAAGCATCTGGGAATATCAGGTTGGTTACCACTGTGATGGTTAGTTATTTTTATTTGTATAACAGTAAATGTGTGTCAGATGCTTCCCAGAGAGTGAAAAGATATGACCCCTGCCCCAAACAGCATTCAGCCTAAGCAGCTGCAAAGTTATAAATTAGTCAGAGTTTCAGGAAGCTGCCTTTACACAAGCTTCTTACAAATGATGGGTGAGTCTCTAATAGATAAGTTTTTTATGGTTTCCTCTACAGTATTTCTTTCTTCTTTGGAGGCAAATCTCTATTCTCAGGACAAACTTAACTGGAGTAAGTACTGCAAAGGGCAAAAGAGTGGATACAGCAACAGAGTACAAATTGAATTTGTTAAACTTTCACAGAGTTTAATTATGCAGCCCATGTTTTTCTGCACCTTATAAATATGTCCAATCTCATTTAATATTCTGAACTAGAGCAGAAATCACACAAAATCAGTTACTTGGCTCCCTAGTGAGGATGAGTAAGGTCTGAGTCAGCCTGGGATGCAGAGTTACTTACGTGTGTTGCAGTCAGAGGCAGCGTTTGCTGAAATAGGTCTGACTGCAGTTCCAGAGGTATGTTTTGGCAAAAACTAACAGTGTGGAAAGAGACAGCAGAAATGGTATTCATTATTACTCTCAGAATTAATGTTGACTTTAGAGGGATGATGTTGCAGCTTTTCAGTTAAATCTCATTTGGACCTGAAACATCATCTTCGATCTGATCTGCCCACCGTACTGCCAAGGGCTAGGAAAATTGGCTCAGATATGATTATGCCAGTCTTCTATCAGCTGTAGGATTTGTGCTAGAGGCATCTTAGGGCAACTGTAAGACTCCTCTCTAACCTGAAGACCTTAATTTCCGGAGTCTGACCAGCTGTTTCTATTTCTGTATTCAGGCAAACAACCCTTTCAATGGTCATGTTCAAAAGAATTCTTCCAATTGCAGAAATTAATCTGCAGAGAAGGCATTTTCTGAACCACTAGAGAAGTGGTGGTAGGCTCTAATTCAACTCAGCTTGGCCTTTGCTCTCTCTCAAGAACTAGTTTTATTACAAGTCATCTAAGATTTCTGCTTGCTGTTAATACTTTGAAAGTAATTTTGCTCAGTTATACAACAAAGTCTCAGCTCTTAAGGTCCCTCCTATCTTTCTATACCTACAGCATCAAATACGAAGTTAAGTTTGCCAAAGTGCATTGTTGCATAACATCTGGATTTTTCTTGTTACAGAATCAATTTTATTTAATTTTACTCTTTTTATATACCTTTCTCCCTTTATTAATAAAGACTAAGTTTTGGCAAAAGATTTTGCTTTATAGATTGTTAGAACACTGGAGAGGAGGAAATGGAGAGCTTTTATGACTCTCAGATGAAGTCATTCCTCCAAAATGAGTTTTTAGTTTCGTACCAAAACTAATCTGGCTAAACGTTGTTTTTTTCTCAGATTTCCTTCTAAGTCAGTTGTCTTTAGTGATTTTCATACTTATACAAGACTGACTGCTGTCAGGCCACACATATATAACCATAGACTAACTCAGGTTGGAAAGGACCTCTGAAGGACATTTGAAGCAGTCGTCCCAACTCAAACATGGCCGAAATAAAGTTAGACCCCTTTCCTTAGTTGAGCATTTCCAGTTGAGCTTTTCACCCTCATGGTGAGGATTTTTTTGCCTTGTATCCCATTGAAATATTCCTTGCCACAATTTCCTCCAAGAATTCCCTTTCACCAACCCTCTGCATTTCACACCTCTGTTATCCTAGTGAAACACTAAGAGCAACAGTAATGATGGTTTAAAGAACTAAGCCTTGTTTTCCCTAAAGTAAAAGAATGAGGGTGAAAAAAGTTATTCTAATGTCTCTCTAATTAAAATTCAATGCTTTAATCATATTCTCTGCCCAAACTTTAAATTTAACCTCTTTCATCTTTCCATTTTGATTTTAATTAGCTCTCCCCTTTGGTGTTGGCCAATTGCTCATGGCCATGATATAGACAGTTGTGGAAATAGGAGAAGCTTTTATTGCATCCTTGCATCCTTTATACCAGTCCTTTATGGTCCCAGCAGAGAACTGACAAAGAATGGAAGACTTACAATCTCATGTTCACGTGCCAAAATGCATATATACCATATATTTGCAGTGTGTTGTTTATGCTTTGCAATATTTGCCAGGCACAGCTGATCAACGGTCTTTGAGCTCGTTGAATGCACATTTCCTAGCACCAGCTAGCTTCTGCATATCTCCAGAGACAACAGGAATTTTAGCTTATTTCTGGACTGTACCTCCATCTTACTGGATCAAGACAAACTAGCTAAACTGTTCTGGGAAAACATTTTGATTCATGGTATGACTCTTAGGAAGCTTGGGAAGAAAACCAAACTGACCATATTCTTTAGCAGCTGATTTCAGCATGTTTGTATATAAACTTAAAAAAAAAAGACATTCATATGCATGCATGGATACTCCATAAATTCACTTAAGTAAAGGGATAGAGGGGCATGAAATATTCTGTAAGTCATGGAATGACTTAGCGATGACAGGGCCACTGTGTAAGTTTAGCCAATATCTGCTTGAAAGCTGCATGCAGAGCAGTCAAATTTCTTTTGCTAATCATTTCAGTTTTGCCTGTAGCCTTCAAGATTATTAACAACAAAATGTATCTGGGCCTTTTTTATCAACATTTTGACATGGTCTTTATTATAAAGACAATTAGAGATCAGAAAGTCCATTTGGATCTGTGTTGTCCATTCTGGCAGAAGATAATGCTAGGTAATTGCTTGTTCTTGGCAAGTGCCACAGCAGACCATTTTGTCTCCTTGCTGAAGCGTCTCTGAATTTTTTTTCAGGGAGAAAGGCTTTTTTGAACTTTTCCTTGGTAAGAAAGAGAATGAAGTAAAGTAAGAAGGAAAGTGAGAAACTTTTCTTCCTTGTCCTCATTTAGATAATTTTATCTTACTGGAAGTCTCTTTGACTCCATCCAATATGACTGAGATAGTGCTGATAAGGTGGATCAATAACTGGATGAAAGGGCAGAAAGGATGTGCAATGTCTCCAGTCTGGGGAGAACAAAAATTAAATGCTATTTATAACAAAGGGAATTTTCGTGTATCCTTGGCTATCAGAATGTTCAAGCAGAACTGAGAAAGAATGAGATTTCTTTACCGTATTGCTTTCCTCAGACCAAAGTTTATTGGTAGAAATTGTATGCTAAAATTGAAGGGAGACTTTGTTTATATTCTATTTTGCTAATATATTTATATTATATTTATATTATATAATATGACTAACGCCAAAAGTCAAACACTTCCTGTTTGTGCATGATACCTTGTTAAAAAAAAGTTTCTCTTGCTTCCTTCCTTTGGCTTGAGTGATCCCTTCCAGTGTGAATGACTCAGATGAAATCAGTAACAGTCTGTGTGAACAGGGGAAGGGGAAAAAAAGGTAGATCCATGGCTTGGGTTCTGCCTGCTGCAGCAGTGCAGTCCAGATGTGTGCTGCATAAGATTAAATACGTCCAAGAAATGCATACCTGCTACCATGAAGGCTGTTTTGGACAGACTGAGGAAACAAGGCCCTTCATTTTTATATTTACCAGTAAAGCATCTTCTTATTGCTGATCTTTTCTAGCACTTGCAGTACTCCTTATACTCATAACAACCTGTCAGGTGGAGGGATTGTGAAGGGATTGTGCCTAGTGTCTCTGGAGACAGGCGTGTTCTCCTGGCCCTACCTGGGATCGGTGGGACAAGGCAGCTGGGGAGTGGAAGTGTTTGTCTAGCAAACTGTAGTCGCACAGTGAACTTTCACTTCATGAGGAAATAAATCTGTTACTAGAAAGGCGTTATTTTACTTAATATCTGACCAAAAGCAGACACAGACTATACTAATGATAAATTAGCAACTGTAAGAACACTTGGTGCTTTTCTTGTCTCTGCATCACAGGTAGCAGTCAAAACCACAAGCCAGACAGATTTTTAATTTCTAAGGAAGCTTGAGTGAGGTCATATCTGCCACATCCCATGACTTCGGAATGCTCTTCTTTCTGGGTTTAGACACATAACATTTAGAAAAAGGAAAGAAAAAAATCCAGTTGGAGATACGGTCACATAATTTAACTTGCATGTCCAGCAAAGGACGATCAGAAAGAGCAATTCGATTAACACCAAAATCTGAATTAAAAGATATAAATTTCCTTGGCAAGGAGTGTGACCTTCCTGTCTCTGTGCTCTTTCTGTGCCTGTTATTCCGCACTATAAACAGGAACCATAGTAACGCATTCACCTGCCCTTATTTTATTACTGCCAGTTGTTGTAACTAAACAAGAAAATGGCATAGTGCAAATTGTAATGGACAACAAATATAGCCCAGCTGTACAGTTAATTTTAATGAAGCAAAAATAAAAAAAAAACCCTTACTGTTGGAGTGACATTAATTCTTTTTTTTCTAGAGGAAAGGTAGAGTGTACTTAGAGGGGCTCTCGCCTGCCATCCTGATGGACCTGTTGGCTGTTTATTGAAAGTCAACTTCATTCCATATGTGCATGCCAACATTATTGACACAAGACTGCTGTGCTGAGGGAAGTAAATCCACACAAATTCCTAGCAGATTAGGTCAAAGAAGATCACAGCAATTACTTTTAACTTTTGCCAGTTTCAGAAACATTCCTTATTTCAGAGAGATTTCTTATATAGGTATTTCCCAGCTGGTGAAAACCGAGCCCCAGACCT